TTGATGCAAAACATGAACGTAAGTCTGTTCCATATGTAATAACATGCCAAACTTCTCTCTTTAAGTTACTGATAGTGCTTTAGGGACAAAGAAGGTTATATTATGCTTTCCTTTGTCAGTTACGTCAAATGCCATTTCATTCCCACTTAAATAACATAATAAGCCACATGTTAATGTTGAATAACTTTATTGAAGTCTTATTTTCTTTTCTTTTAGACTTACGTGAATTTGAAGGAATACGATAACAATTTGTACGCGAATGTTGACGACCTATTTGAGTAACAGGATAGGAAATCGTCTAATTGTATAAGGGAAAGATAGTTAGAGAGGATGCGTCTAAAAACAGGGCTCGTAAAAAAATCAGTCCAGTTGTGGAGACATATCCATAAGTACATTTAAAGTATTTTTAAGGTATGGTTAACTTGGTCCTGAGGACACTCGCTTGGCAATAGAAGTACACATAATTTGGGGTCCTGAAATGGCCTTCGCTTGAGGTACGAAGGAAGTTTATCTGCTTAGTGCAGACTTACAAGATTATTTTCGGACACTGTGACATAGATCCTCATATGTTTTTTTGATTTTAATGTATTGGCGAAAACGCGTAGGAACCATAATTGTAAGATAAGACCTAAAGAGACACGTACAAATTACTTTAAATTTTCATTTTTCAATCGCTACATAACAGACTGGAAAATTATACCACTGAACATTATGTATGCACGTTTGTTAAGCAGTTTTAAGTCCTATCCTTTATGCGTCATTTGCGTGTATCCATTATGATCATTTGCGTCAATTTTAAATCAGGAGAAACTCGTGAGTGATCAGTATCCAATTTAATTAGCTTAGCTTTGGGCCTTATTTAAATTGTACTTCTTAATTTTTAGTGTCAATTATAGTATGCAATTTAATTAGGTTAGTTTTGAGCCGCATTTAAATTTTACTTCTTAAATTTTAGTACGCTTAATTTTGGAGAATATTCTTTGGACGGGAATTTAGTCTCCCCCAATTATTCTCCAGTCATGCACTCTTTGTATTTTCTGTAATTTTATTTACCTGTATTAGCATGACAAAGTATTATTAAATTTAAACTTTTAAATAATGCAATTCGCAATTTTTTTTCTTTCTGTTTCGCATCTCCGATACAAACGTGGACCTATCCTACCTACACGATGTAGTTTCGTAATAGAAGTCGATAGCTTCCCACAAGTGTTCCCAACCAGATAAAGTCTAATCTGCGTTTAAACTCCACGACATTGCCAGCCTCATTTCGACATAGAAGTAGCACTCCGGTTTGTAAGGTGTCCTGTATGGGCAAAGTAACCAAGATATCGACAGCTTTACCTGGTACACAGCAGTGTGCTACAAAAATGCAGACTGGCCTCGACACATGAAACAAGGAGTGCATTCACTTAAGTGTTTAGGGGATACGTTAGTCTCGCGAGTTACCTTAGGTGAGACCTGATTGTGAACTCAATCATTAAGTACAATATGTTACACTTTATTATGGCTCCCCTATACGAGGCTATTCTGTTCTAATATACAATGATAGCAACTATACAATAATAAACTGCAATGGGTCAAAAAATATTTACATATGTTGCGAAAAAAAATATTTACATGAGTTCATATAAAGGTTGAAAGATGTGTTTCGATCAAGCGACTTTCCTTTCTAAACTTGAAATACTCTTTATGTTCCGAATGTTTTCTGGGAGTAGGTTGTATTTTATGCCCCGCGAAAGGCGAAAGAGAGTTGACCAGTTGATAATCTGCATTTACGCAGATTTAACTGTGACATATTTCTAGTGTTGCGTCCCGACACACTAAATCTGTCATGAAATAGATCGCAAAGATAAGGTGGTACCTGCTTTGCTCTACACTTATTGGCCATAGTAAGGGTATCTAATAAAAGTTTTTGACAGACGCCTAGCCAACCAAGGAATTTGCGCGCAGCAGAGACATGATCAAATTTAGAGCTCAGAAATGTTTTTGCTGAAGGTATTACCCCGTACGGTAGAACAATAGAAAAGCCTTCTGAAAATAAGAGCATTTATAATCAAAGTAAGAGTTTTGTTGTCCAAAATATGTTTAATTCTATTGATAAGACGTAGATTATACAGACTGCTCGAGGACAGTTTAGATACGTGGTCGTCAAAGGTTACAGCAGAGTCGATCCAGACCCCCAAGTCTTTTACAACAGGAGAGGGTTTGTTATCTCGATAGAACGACATGAAGAAGAGATCAGTCTCGCGTTATTTGTGGTACGCCAACTCAGAAATATTATAAGACGTCTATGTAAGTATCGATTGATTAAATTATGGTTTTAGTTTTGCCTTTCCTTGAAGAATAAAGGACCGTGAACTGAGTGAATAGCCTTCACTATCGACTGATTCTTACATGAGACCTGTTTCTTTTACTGCACACCAGCCTGACAGTTGATCATCAGTCCTAAAATTTAGCATCTTTTGACAGTGAAAACGGTTAAAAGTTTGTAAAAGTCTAGGATGTTTTTTTTTTAATAGACAACTGGAAACAGAAAACTTTAAGATGTCGGGGTTCGTTTCGTTTCTCTTTCTCGGTTTTAAAATGAGGTCGTCGATTTCCTCTGAGTCCTTTTGATGGTCTAAATAACTTTCTTGGTATATAAATTTTATAGTAAAGAATTTCTTTGGATTAACTTCAATGAATAATATACACTGAGAAGCTGAATAGACAAATCAGTCAATATTTCCAATTGGGAAGACAGGTATGAAAATCCTACTGCGAATATAAAATTACCTAGAAAATTATGAAACAGAGAAATGAGATAAACGAAATAAAAAGTAAATTTGAATTAAGACAATTTTACAAGTTATCTTTTCTTTTCTTCGACCATTTCTTATTATGGAATTAGCCTTCATCCACACACATACGCACACACACACACACACACACACACACACACACACACACACACACACACTTTCTGTTCTCACTTTTGCTCAATTGGAGGACAGACCTCGCAATTTCATTGAACGTCTACCACAGGAGTATCCTCTCGTATGTGTTTAAGTCCTTCTGCAGCTTTCATTGTCAATAGTAAGTCTATCTCTTGGTCCAGTCTTGAACTTTGCCTCCAGGAGTAACGGCGTCCTACTTGGTTTCGGCATTGAGCCAGTCTAGAGTTAGCCACTGAAGGAAATAAATCAGTTCGGTCTGAATTCAACACAACCACGTGAACTGAAATATATTAAGTTTGGTTTACCAGTTTCCCAAAGTAAGATGTGAGGTTTTAGCTGATTAAATAAAATAAATAAGCTTGTTAAATTCCAGTGGAAACCGGCTGCTTATCTTGATACGAGTAAGCAAGACAGTTGTAACAAAACATTTATAAAACTTTCATAGAAACGTTTTCGGCTACAACAGAATTCGAAAGGGTCTAAAAAGTTATACTCAGACAATTCTTTGGCCCAAGCTCAGTGAAAATTTTTGAATGATCTCCTCGATTTCTTCTCTGGCATTATTCGATAAGACTCACTTCGCCTCCGGTGTAATTGTTAAATGTGCCGACTGGTGATCCGAAGTTACGCGTAAAATAGAAAATCTCGCCGTGCGATTCTCATTTAACAATGATAGACGAGATCTTTTGTACGATCGACTATCCAAATAATTTTCAGCAGGTGAAATGATTTTTTAGACCTGAAACTCCTTGTTTAGAGAATTAAGTTCTGAGTCACGGTGCTAAACCGCCAAATGACGTCAAACCATATATTGGTCTGGGTGGGGAGGGGGTGTGCTACCCTATATACAATGACGCCACAAAAATTATGGTTTCTTGAGTTGATTCGGCCTAAATATGTGTGTAATTCAGGTGTGATTTTCGAGGAGCCAAGAGAACGCGAGGATGTCATTTTCTGTGAACAGCTACTCAAAATAAGTAAAAGAGAATGAGAAGGAACCACAATGTATGTATTTTTAAGTGAATTCTACCAACTCTTGACTTTGACAGTTTTGCCGAAGCCTAGCTAATTATAACCTGGCAGCAACACTAATGGAATCTGATATTCTGTGGCTAAAACGATGTTTTGGTGGTATACAATATAAAATAATGGGACATTATTTTACTATTCCATGTCTTTAAATGGGTTTAGATTTAGAAATAATGACTGAACACGACTGACATGCCTGGAGAATCGGGCCGCGTCATCCCTGCCAAAGAGTCCGGGGAGTACCGTCCCGTGAATGTGAATAAAGGTTTGAAAAGCCATTGTTTTTTCTCCTGATATATTAAACCGAACCTTTCACTCCTATGCTTCCGTCTAGTCCATTATCTAATGCCCATGTAAAGACTGAAAAACGTAGATGTTTAGCTTTGTTGTCAAGTCTTTCCGCGGTTTTATTGCTTCGTTGCCTCACAATTATTTATAAAATGTATTTTTTTTTAACACAGTTTCGTGGCTTTATTTTTTATTTATTATTTTTTTGGGGGGAGGGAGGATGTCGTTTAAGTCATTGGTTCAGTGTCACAGAGTATAGCATTTATTTTTCTCGATAGAAGTTGGTTGAAGAAGCCGCTGCAATGTTGTTTGATTGAAAAACACAAAAAGTATTTTGATACTATCAAGCGGGACAAAAGGAAGCAAGGGGGTTCGAGGACTTAATCTCTTTTAATTTGTCTCTTTACTTCAATTCCCTTTTCCACTCATGACTGACCTGAAGGGACCTCTACCAGGAGCCCATGGACTCTGGCTTCTACTAACCGTCCTTCACGGTAGTCGAGAACATGCGACAAACGGGAAATCGTTTTTTTTTTCTTTCAAGTGATCGGCTACCCAGAAAAAAAGGTGATAGGCTTCACCTCAAGCAGCCATCATCGCTGGATCTTGAGGTACAGACAGTTACAGACAATTTTGTTGGAGTCGGACTTAGACTCCTGAAGCACCATAATCCGGCGGAAGACTGGGCTCGATTTAAGGTTTCCGCTTGGCGTTGGCGTCCAATCCTATGATATCATTCATCAAAAATACAACGGACGTGACTCGAATGTTTCTTCAGGTGAATGTTAAGAAAGGGAAAGTCGAAGTCAATTTATACTGGTAAAAGTATGATGGATATTTTTCGCAGTAGCGTTTTTCGAGTGGCTTTAGCCACGCTTTTGCTCTGTTCAACAATTCAGAAGTCAGGTAATGTACATAGAGTTGAGAAAATGGAGATGTTAGACTCGTTTGATATTTGAGAATGGAGATGTTAGACTCGTTTGATATTTGAGATTAAGCTCTAAACTGCTGTAAAATAATCCGACGTACTTAAACACATCCTTGAATTTTCTCATAGACGAACTTCTTCGTTTAAGTTACGTGTGATGTGTTGGTTTTTTTTTTCTTCTACAGAGTCATTCAGAATCACCAAAACACCTTCCAACCCTACTGTTGTGGTATTAGAAGGACCCAGCAAACAAATCGAACTTGAGTGGCAGTTTTCTGATGCACCGAATTCACTGTACTTTGTTCAGTTATGGAGACAGAAGCCTGATGAAGTCAATAAACAACTAGCAATAAGCAATAAAGGAAACGCGTTCAGCTATCCGAATGGCCAAAACCTCAACGAATTCGAGGCTTTCCTTCCTGCAAGACTAGTATTGAAGAATGTGAAGAGAGATGAGGAATATACCTACTCTATTCATCTGTTGGATTCTACCACGAAAGTGGTTGGACAAGACAGTGTTACTCTTGATGTGGTTGGTAAGTGATGCTTTTTCATGAGTTGCTTCGATACGCTTTATCCTTTCATACCTTTCTCGCCCATACGTACGCCACTGTACTAACTTAATCGTACTGTGTCAAACGGTATCGTGTTCACTTCAGAGAGATCGTGACGTAAACTACGAAAGTTGTCTTCTTTGCGTGAAATGATTTTTTATTATTTGAACATTGTTGTAGAGAACGATAGGCGTGTTTTATAAATGCACTCAGTTACTCATACTCAAATTACTCTACCGTCTTGTGACACGGTTTCGATTGAACGCAGTTGCACTCAAACATTTCGAACGGCTTCTTACTTTTCAGCCGCGATCGATTTTGTCATTCTTTCATGTGATACTAGGAATGACTGGAATTCTAGGAATTGATCGTCATGGTACATTTTAGTTTTCTTTCGCTTTAAGTTGTTTTTCTCAGATGAAAATTGATAATTCAGCAAACACTTGGGTTGCGAAAATGTACATTGTGTAGCCAATATACGCTGAAAGCAAACGTGCATGACTTTGTTCTTGCTTTTGCATCAATGTACGGGGACAAAAACTTCTTGATAACCCTTCGCGTGATTTTGATTCTACAATGTTCACTAACCTATTGTTTCAGATCCACACTTTCGACAGAGAACGAGTATAAATGACTCTCGAAATCGTCTTTGCTAAAAATTAACCCACCTCCATTTGTCAGTTTTGCACGAGTCATATCGCGTTGAATATTTTCGTCAGAACGGCTCATTTACTGCTTTCCACATTCAAGTGTTAATCAGTTTGCAAGTTCATAAAAATCACAAGCTCTAAACTATCTTGGTAGTTTCACATTGCTCACTCGGAGGTGCACAACCGTTAACTTGGAAATTTGAAACTCTTTTGTTTATTGAAATCAGTGTTTTTCACGATATAGTAAGTTTATTTATTCACATTGTCATTAACCCATAATAACCCACACAGCCTTACTCAGGGTGCTGCGTGAAACACTTTCATTAATGAAGAGATTAGTAACTACATAGTTCCATCCATCTCTCACTAATCATTTCAATAAGTGTACGTATGTATCAGTCTTAATAACTGTTAACACTACTATTAATTGTTGTTATTATTAAAAATTATTTTCCTCAGCAGTCGGGAGATGACAAATCTTTGTCTCCCCATTTTGTTCACAACATTCTCTTAACAGACACATTGGCTTTGAAGTTGCAATTTCTTAGAAATATCTTTACAACATGTTTTATAATCTAATAAGTGAGATAATTTCCATGCAATTAAAATGCATAATCTTAAATTGTTATTTCCCAGTGCCTCCAAAAATAACTGTCACACCAGAACCAAAGCCATCACTCACCATTGGAGAAAACTACACTCTGACCTGCAATGCATCTGGTGACCCCTTCCCAAACATAACTTGGACAAAAGATGGTACACCAGCAGAAGAATTTAATGTGACAGGTTACAAGCTTCATTTCATCAATGTGGAGTTGAAGGATGTAGGATCATACAGATGTACAGCCAGTAATGGATATGGAGATGATGCTACCAGTGTCAGCATAGCTAGCATAAGATGTAAGTAGTCTTTCCCATATCATCAAAGTCTTTCTTCTGATTACAACAATGCAATTATTAAGTTTTTTACTCTATGTACATGTACTGCTATAGAAACAACTCTACTTGTATTTTTAAGAATAATTATTTTCTTCACAAAAGTACCTTTTCCCTAATAGCCTGCATTCATTTCAAAATCTGACTAAAAAATTTTGCGAAAATAAAAGAGAAAGCAATGGACTTAATTTGATGTAAAAATAAAGTAGAAAAAGTAGCACTATTGTATACTTCTTTTATTCTCTCTTTTATACTATAGGTAATGATTGTGAAATAAAGACAGTTGGAATAACATTACAGAGGGAATCTTGGAAGTCAGCCTTGAGTAACAAAGAGTCAGTGGAGTACAAAACATTGCGGGCAAATGTGTTATCAGAAGTAAGTATTTTGCCAGAGTGAGTACAATGGGTGACCATAGCTAGGGCAGGAAACTTTCTTTTTAATACACTTGTCCCTTTGGACAAGTGTAGTGTGTATTTTACTTGTCTGGACCACAAAACTACTTGTCCCAAAAAATCGCCAGCAGCAATTTAGGGTTTCAAAAATCCTTCTTTTATTTCAACCATGCCCCAGTTAAGTGGAACTCAATGGCGACGCTTTGTGAAGAAGTCAAATACACAACTTGCACAAAAAGAAAAGAAAGTTTATTTCCAAGGCACTTAGTTGTAAAATACGGGGGAAATGATTTCTTATTTTCCCAAAGTCAGGCAATGTTAGAGCTCTACAACTTTACTTGTCCAATCGGACAACTTCGATCATCTTTTTCCTTGCCCGAATGGAAAAGTTACATGTCTCGGATGTTCGGACGGGCCAAGTTTCCTGCCCTGATAGCAGGTCAAGAAACTTGTTTTTACATTTACCAGAACATGTTTTGGTTTTGTCAAACAGGGCTGGGGTTGTAAGTAAATTTTTAATGTTTGGATACAGATACAACTATCTTGTAATTTCTCTTGTCCAGTACTGTTTGGGCTGACAGAGCCTCCTTTTAATTCAATTAAGATTGTGGCCAAATACAAACCTTTGTAGGAATAATTGGAAAAATTACTTTTGAGTTGTAATTCTGAACCAGGGTCACAAAGAATGGACCTTTGGGTATTTTGATTAATATCTCAGCTCCCATTTGCATGCATTGATATTTCGAGATCGGATTCTAATAGGTTTGAATTCATTCCAAATTTATAAAGGCTGATAGTTTCTAAAGAAACTGTTTGGGGCTGCATCGGTGGGGGTAACGAAATAATTTGAATATATCAACAAAGTTGAAATGGTAAATTGGCCACCGTAACGGTTACGATTATAAAAGCTGACGTTTCGAGCGATAGCCCTTCGTCGGAGCGAATAGAGGAATTGTGGGTAGTGTGTACTTTTAAAGGCAGAAAATGGAGCTACGTTATTGTTTTTCCAAATTTAGTCTGGGGAAGTGAATCATTTAAACATGGCCCTAAATTTTATTCGGCACCAATGGTGGTGTGTACTTGAAATATAATAGTGTAAATTTGGTAAAATTGAAGATGAGCTCCCCAAAATATCTGTTAGCCAACTGTTGGCCGACTGTTCACCAACAGATGACCAACAGCTCACTGACAGTTCACCAACAGTTGGCCGACATAATGAAAACAAAGTGAAGGAGAAGCAAGCAAAAAATTGCCATCAGACAAGCAGACCAATGATATTTGGTGTTTTGCATACATGTAAAAGTATACTTTCTAATAATTTGTGCATTTGGGCATGTTTGTTCCAAGTAAAATAAATCAACTTTGTTCCTTTTGTTTAAGATCTCCAAGGTTTATGCAAAAAATCCTGAAAAACAACTGTACAGTGTGGCTCTTCTTGATTTCAGGTAATTGTTAATTTGAGAGTGCTCAGTGTATGCATGTTTTAACTTTTTTTGTTTGAAAGAAGAATGGAGAATTAAAGGAGCATCACACATCAGTACTCTTTGGTCATTTAGCAATTAAGAAAAGTATTAACCATTTGTTGTTGTGCAAACAGTGTTGATCTGCAAGTTTGTTTTTTTTACTAATAGATCTGGTAGTGTTGTTGCT